TCCTGCAGTGCTCCACCTCCCTGGGCATCCTGCAGTGATCCATCTCCCTGTGTGTCCTGAAGTGCTCCACTTCCCTGTGTGTCCTAAAGTGCTCTAGCCAATGTAATCAAGGTCTAGAACATTACTTTCTTTGTTCACTTTGATATCTTTTATAATAAATTTGTAAAACTTGTCTTCTAGGGTTTCACATAATTTCACTTTACTTCATAATTTCATTCAAATCTAAAATGTTCCAAACATAACAAAAATCTTGATATAATAAAACCAGTGCCTTTCCTTCCCCTATACAAGAAGAGAATAAGCATGCGTCTCTCACACCAAGCAGTTGTGTGGGGCCCTGTAGCTCAGTGCGCGCGCGCGCACACATACACACACACACACACACACACACACACACACACACGTAGCCTTCAGAGTATGTCTTGCGCTATGTGGCTGTGTTTGCTGATGGCTGCTCCCTGGTCCCCTGCTGGAGTATGCTGCGTCATAGTGGCCACAGCAGCTGTGGCTGAGCCTGGCTCCTCTGAGATGCGCTGGCTCTGTCCTGTCCTGTCCTGTCCTGTCCTTGGGAAGTTAATACAGTTAGAGAAGGGAACCTAGGCACTGACAGCGAAGTCCTGGTCAGCAAAGCCCTCGGATCCGTGAGAGGATGATGCACACAGACAGCTTTCCCTTTGCTATTGGCTTAGAAGGCTTAACGTTATGGAGAACTTATCAACACACACACAAAGTACTGCGTGATACAGGCACACCAGTCTGCCTGTCTTTCACACTTCCCTCCCCATGCTGGCCTCCTCATGCATGAACACATATCCCAAATTCACTCATGGCCAGTAGCCTTCGCATGTACAGCCCAGGCTTTCACATGGCCCCGTTGGTAGAAATCACTTAGTTGAATGTCACCAGGGAGACACAGATCCTGGAGGGCAACATCAAGCCTTCCAGGCTGCGCCCAGTCTCCCTTACCTGCAGTTTGTCATTATGGCCTCCTGGATACCTGCTTATGTGTGCTGTCATCTGTCCCCAGTCTGAGGTCCCAGTTCAGTGTGACTCCCATGGGAACTACCAGAACACAAGTTCTCTCTGCTCCACTCACAGTTCGGGGCCCTCAAAACGTCGTATTATGTGATGCGCTCTCAGCTTGTTAACGAATTCCTTTCTAAGCTAACTGTATGCCGTAAGGGCTTTGTGCACCAGAGCTGGCCACATTAGCTGCATTGGCAGCTTCCAGTGAAAACATGATCCAGAGGCGTTGCCCTCCCTACCTTTCCTCTCAACCATTTCTTGAATGAGCACGGCTGCATTCAGAAGTAAACAGGTGCTGTGTTTAGGAGCGAAATGCAGGTGCCAGAGTAGTGTTTACAGCTCTGCGATTGAGACAGTTCTCGTAGGTGGCACACTACATAGCAACTGGAAACCCAGAATGAAGCAAATCTGTTGCAAATATTTGTAAAGTTCCTTCAGGCCTGAGCTACAGGGCCTGGGAGCTGGGAGCTGGGAGCAGAGCCCTGGGTGCTGGGGGAGAGCAGCAGGAGCCCATCCCCAAGGGAGCCCCACTCAGCTTACATGGCTCGCATGTTATTTTCTGGAAGTAGAGGGATCTCCAGGACTTTGGTGTTGGACAGGATGGCTTCGTGGCTGGTGGTGGAGACAGTCTTCCCCGTGATGCGGTGGACCTGGTAGAAGGCGTGGGGCCGCAGCAGGCGGTCATCCGCCGTCCCGATGAACAGCTGGAGCGTGAGCGGCTCGTTTTCCAAGTAACCGTGTAGCTGGCAGGAAAACAAAGAACTCCCAGTAAGCTCCATGCAGAGAAACAGTGGGGTCCATTTGTCAGCAGAGGAAAGCTGTGCCTGGTGCCCAGTGCCCAGTGCCCAGTCCCTCAGCTTCCTGGGATGTAATATCAGTACTTCTTAAAATTATAATACAAAATGCAGCCAGGCATAGTGGCGCACACCTTTAATCCCAGCATTTGCAGGTCAAAGGCAGGCAGATCTCTTAGTTTACAGCTAGCCAGAATCTATATAGAGAGTGTCTGGACAGCCAGAGCTACACAGTGAGATCCTATCTCAAAAAATGAAAATAAAATAAAACCCCACTATCCTACAGGCCCTGGGAATATAGATTAGAATTTGAACATTCTGGTCCTATCTTCAAACAATCACAACATATGTTCATATACATGCAACAGTGTACACATGCACTCCTCACACATGCCTTTGAACAGGTATAACCAGACAGGCAGTGTGCATGTGAGCTCACATGCACGCCTAGAGGCAATGTGCAAATGTGCACACATGCACACCATCACACACACTCGCATAAAACATTGTGTGTACATCATATGCAAAAGTTATACACAGTTCAAAACATGTGCAATGTTTTACACACACACACACACACACACACACACACCACACACCAAACTGTGTCTAGGCCATCCTTTCATGACTGCTCTGTGTACCCCTCCTTCAGAAAGAAGTAACAACAAATGTCCTACCGATGCCGGCTGCTCTGCTGCCTCAAAGCTGGCCCGTCAGGAGGACAGACTCACAGCCAGCCCATCAGGAGGACAGACTCACAGCCGGCCCATCAGGAGGACAGACTCACAGCTGGCCCGTCAGGAGGACAGAATATCTTGCAGTCACTGATAAGACAGAGAAACTGACTGCCCGTGCTCATAGCCCACTATCCTTCCTACCACATCTGCATAAATTGAACCAGGACAAGAAAACTAGATGCTTCGTGCAGGCCACGGGTGGGTGACCTACATTTTAGGGGACAACCATAATGTGGCCTTGTGCTAGGAAAAAGCCATCCTTCAAGATAAACAACCAGAGTTTAGAAGTGGGGTCACCACAGGTATCAGCTTCATTTTTCTTTGTCCCCAGTGTACCTTCCCTCCTTCAAGAGCTCTGCATTAGCCCCGTGTGTCCCATCTCCAGCACTGCCTTTGGTCATCAGCTAATGAAGGTTGGGGCCAAGGCATTTCATCCTCGTGGAGACTGTGGCCAAAGGGGGGACCTTTGAGCTATATCACAGGGTGGGAAGATGCCTCCAAGGCTCTGCGAGGACAGGGGAGGTCTGGAGGACTCTAATTCCACCAGGCCTGGAACTGCTTGGTCCTGTAGGGTGTGCTCGCTCTCCTACTGTTCTGCTCTCTCTCCTCTCTGGACTAATTCCTAAGTCTTTGAAAATAGCAACCACGATACAATGACAAGTCATTCTCTTTTCAGACGGGTCACGGCCACAGAATGGGCAAAAACACCAGTGTCACCACCACTCAGAGTCCATCAGGCCAGGAGCCCAGGACCTACAGCCTCCGCTCAAACACATGATGAACATTTAGGTGTGATGCAAGAGCCCCTGACAGGTGCAGGTGATATGCCAGCACAGGGTGACACTGGTCCCAACCATAGAGGATCCTGGGAAAATGTGTTAGACAGGGAGACTCACACAGGCTGAGGGAAGTCGATCTGCAGGCAAGGCTTTGGCTCCTCTGCCTCACCCCTAGCAGCTCCGCCCCCCCAAGTCATTCTATTCAGAGTCTTGAGATCTGCCCACCTCATGGGTCATGCTTACAATGTCCCACAGTGCCCCTCTACCCTGAAAGAAGCCCGGGTTGGATGCCATACACCGTGGGATGCAGGAGCCACCTGTACTTGCAATGAGCATCAAGGTCCTAATCTATGACAAAGTATAACACCCCCTCCCCTAGTCATTGTCACCCACTTTACCAAGGGCTAAGCCCCTCATGGAGGTCACAAAGGAATAGCCTGGCCATAAGTGGGGTGGAGAGGCTGAGGTCTGGAACACGGAACTCAGAGCCAAGAGGGACTTGTAGGTGGGAGCCTGAAATGTGTTGCTGGAGTGTAGGGGTTTGGTTTCAGCACCCTCAAACAGGACGGCGATGAACACCCCTGTAGAAAGCAGCCAGCAGTCTCTGAGGATCCTGAACCAAAGAGGATAAAGCTCTGTGAGGGAACAGACCTAATGGAAAAACCCTCGGCCACAAGAAATGGATCCGCAGATTCTTGCCAAAGGAAAGGGAGGTACAGAGAAGAGAAGGGGTACAGGGGACCCCAGGCTCTCCCCACCTACCTTTTGCCTTTCCAGTGTAAGCCTTATGAGCTGCTAGGGGATTGTGCTTTTCATTTTAAAACATTGGGAAGGAAACAAAGAAACCTAGGAACGGGAACAAGAAAATCAGACAGTGTAATTAGCTGCTGCTGGATTTTGATGTGGGCCTTGGGTATTGGGTTTTTACAAGGCAGCGGGCCTCTCGCATGTCCCTCACGCAAAGGCCTCAGACACTGCCTCTGGCCTGATGCATGCCAGTGGCTCATTAGGAGAGGCACGGCCGTCCTGTGATCCACCAGCATGTGGCATGCGGCCAGTGCCAGTTCTACCTCAAGATGAAAGGACTGGGGGCTAAGGCTGTACTTCAAACAGGTACGACCAAGATCCTCAAGGTCAATTATCAGCCCACAGCCACCAGCCGCAGCAAGAAAAAAATGTGTTCCCCACTCCTCAGGGGCTAATGGGCAGAGGCCCAGGGCTTTGTTGCCTCAAAAGCAAAGGAGGCCAGGTGGACTAGGAACCCCACCAAGGGCTCACCACTGACGACAGGAATGAAAGCATACTGCTTCCACATGGAGGCTGGCTGACCTACATATGGGCTTTGGGGGACTCCTATCCTGTTCCTACTGAGCTGATACAAAGTGATGGCCACTGGCAACTTTGAGGAGGCAAATGTGAGGAGAACTCTTCTGAGGGATCACCCTGTACCCCAACATTTTCTTCAGCAAAACCTTCTGCCTTCTGTTTTGTTATGTAGTCACAGCGCCCATGAACTTGATCACTTCAGACAGATTCACTAAACACCTGGGTGGATATTTTCAGGTGGGCTGAGTACCAAGGGCACATATACGTGAGTGTGAAGGGCGCCTGCAGACCACAGGTACCCAGCCATTCTGAGACAACAGCAGTGAAAACCCTTGGTTAAGTCTGGTGAGTCAAAGCGTACGAGGAATCTCTCCCCAATTTGCCGCGGGCCTAGCTGACCACATGGATGGATACTACACAGAATCTCCCACCCCAGGCCATCAGCATAGGAAGCTATCTCTGCCACCTTAGGCTAGCAACTGTCTAAATCTTCAGTGTGGAGCACAGAAGTCCCTGCAAACAGGGCCCAGAACAATCAGCAACCAAGGTTGGTTGGTCCAGGCCCCTCAGCACCTGGGAGTCAGGCACTTGCCTCTTGCAATGGGATAAATCCACTAAAACCATTACTCCGTATTGGGCTAGAATATTTTTACAATGTGATGTGCTAGAGTAAATACATAAATAAATAAATAAAAACCTGAAATTCAGGGGCAAATTGTGCCAGTTAGTATTCTATCTTGTGAAATTTAACACAAGAATATATAAATGAGTCTACGACCAAAACCTTCTCAGTGGGCAATCCTCGGAGAGGTCCAAGGCCAAGCCTGGTTTGGGTCAGATGACTTTAAAATGACAACTGAAAATTCCCCCAGGACCCCTGCTACTCCAGGCTTCCTAAGAGATGGAAGGCAGTGAACACGGAATAATTTTATCCTTTAGAAACATGCCATTTCAGTGAAAATAGGAATATTTAAGGCTTAACCTGGGAGGTAAATATCTATTATTTAAAGCACGAAGTTCACTTTAAGAGAAGAAATCTAAGCTGCCTCACACATCCCACGGCAGGGACCGTCTCCCTCCGGCTTCTCACAATGTCTGTCAGAACTACATCTCTAAAGTTACCTGTCAAACCCAAGTCTCCTCGGCTTCCCTCTAAACGAAGCAAAATGCATCACTTCGTTTGCAAGGCGTAAGCACTCCTCCGTTTCCTGCACATTAAAATGTTTGTTTTTAGCCCCTGTGCCACCTCAGCACTTACACAGGGAAATGACAGGCCAACGGACTGATGGAGGACAAATTTATTCAGTGCTGGAGTCGGGCCAGCGTGCACACCTTCGTACACAGCAGAGGGAAGATCTGAATTAGCAGGGCCAATTAGCTGGGGAAAACAGCTTGCCTTTCAGCCAGCCATTCTGACTTGGTTACTAAGCAAAGGACAGTGTCATGTGACAGTCGCCCACATGGACATAATGTGCACTTGAAATAATCAACTTAAAGGGAAATTTGCATTTAAGACCCTGGGTAACATGAGCATGCCACCACGTCCCAGAAGACGAGAGAAATCGGCTCACACACTGGGCTCTCTTTCCCTCCTGCTGGGGATCACACCAGGGTGGGTTTCCCTATTTTTTTAAACCCAGTTCCCTCCACTTGGTTAACCAAGAGTTTGCGTGTTGTACGAACTCATATTATCTCAGATTGTTTTCGGCCCCAATTCCTCATTACAAACACCACTGCCAGGAGACGGGAAGTTCTCTGTTATTGGAAGTTCTATTTCCCTCTCCTGGAGACTGCGGAACACTGGTCTCCAGGCAGGGCACAGAGGCACCCTGGGAATTCACCACTCTGCCCGGGAGACCTCGATGCAGCCACAGGAGCCAGGTCTGATCCAGCTTCCTGCCTCACAACTTGAGAGGGTGGGAGCCAAATGCCACTCTAGTGAGGTGGGGGCTACCACACCAGCTTCAGCTAGAGGCACAGCCCCTGGGGAGCAGCTATTCTTAAGCATGGGTGACCCCCGTCAGAACAACCATCATGGGGACATCACCAGCTGTGGAACTGTTTGTCACTCCAGACGCCACCATGTGCCTGTCTGGGAATAAAGAAATGACCAGTGGGGTCAGGACCCACACAGACACTCAGTGGAACAATTAAGGAACAACTTTAGAGCCAGGCTGTGTAGTGCAGGCCCATAATCTCAACACTCAGGAAACTGAGGCAGAAGGATCACACATTCAAAGTCAGCTTGGGCTATAGAGTGCGTTCAAGGCCAGCTTGGGCAACTCAAGGAGACTGGTATTCAAGATTAGAAGTTAAAAGGGAGATTAGGAATGTAGGTCAGTGGTAAATGATTTGCCCAGCCTATACTGCAAAAACAAAACAAAAACAAAAACAGCTTCACGTACTCAGCAGCACCTGGAAGGGTGCCAGACAGACACTGCTTGTCCTGCTCTGCATAACTAGGTAGGGACACGCACTGCCTGAGCTCCTGTGTCCCAGCAAATGGGCTGCAGGATGTAAGGTCCCAGGGCTTCCCCATGAGGCAGGCAGGCACAGGGCAGTTTCTGAGCACAGCTTCCTAGCACAGAAAGCAAAGTTCCCGTCCCTGCTGCTCAGTGGGCTTCCCACAGAATTTGTGTCAGTAACTAAGTACCTGCATAGAAACTATTCACTGGCTTTCAGGGTGGTACGTGTGTGTGTGTGCGTGCATGTGTGTATGTGCATATACTGATATATGTGACACGTGTGCACCTATTTGTGTATGTCTATGCATGTGTTTATACATGTATGAGCATGTAAGTGTCTGTAAGTATGACCTCTTGGGATTTGTGTACATGTGTATGTTATGAAAGTACGTAGGAATGTATGTCTGTATGTGTGTGTGTGGTGTGCATTTGACCCTGAATTGTATGAGCACACATGTGTTTTGGAGCCTGTGCAATTTGTTTCATGAACGTGTGCCTGGGTGAGCACGCACACGGTTATGGTAATGTGTGCACTTGGTTTTGTGTGTGCACATATGTGTCATGAGCCCATAGCAGTACTTAATTTATACAATATAATTCTGAGGACTCTTCCTATGAAGACAATCATCATACTAAAGATCAAAACCATCTTTATAAACACAGACAAAATGAGGCCTACAGCTGTTCCTCACATCCCGAGAGACGGTGGCCAGTATACACACAGCCCCTTCTGGTAAAGCCTGAAGCTGAGGGCCGCACAGAGACATTGTGAGAGGCTGCACATAGCTCCTTCAGGTCTTTTCATGCACACACTTTCTCTACCTTTCTGAGAAGTCAAATTAATAAATAAAAAAAAAGAAAGAAACAAAATGGGCGTATCTGTGTAATTACTTCAAGGGTATACAAGATAGAGACCACACACACTGATAATGCCTGCTAGGCCCTCCCTGAGAACCTTGTATGTCACACCTTCACGGGGACTTGATTTCTACTGGCAAGTCATCCCACCTTGCTGAGGGCCTGAGGCTGATCCAGGCTTCTAATAATCAGTTGTTTAATTTACTTAACAATGTCTCAGAGCTGTGGGTGTAACTCCAGAGGCAGAATGCCTGCTTGGTACACCCAAGGACCCAAGCTTCATCCCCAGTGCCTCGAACAGTCTCCCTGAGGAGAAAGTCTGACGTCCTGAAGCACCAATGAGAAAGCATGTGCTGCCAATGGAAGCGCTGAACTCAAACATGTCCTTTCCTTCCTTACAGGGCCCGTGAATCCAACCGCCCACCTCCCATGACTAGTCTCTGACCAGCATCTGGTACAGTTTCTCAGATAAAAGGCCCTAGTGCAGGTTCTCGCAGAGGAAGCCACACTCCACGGCTTTCAGAGATGGACCGTGAGCTTCGTGACTCTCCTGCAGCTGGAACTGGTGGGGTGTTTGGCCGGTCAGATTTTAGAACCCTGGCTCCCTGTCTGTGTTCATCCGCGTACCCCTGATGCACTGCGCATGTGCAAAGAGCGTGTTTGCAGATGCTTCAAGCACAGCCCCGCCCTGGGATCAAAGGGTCCAAATCCATAGGGTCCTGGAAAGTGAGCTTCAGCCCCATCCCAGGAAATAATTTACTCAACAAATTTCATGTTTCCTCTCCTGGGCAGACAGGAGGTGGGGTAGGGAGACACGGCCTGACCCTCAGACCACCATCGGATGTGAATTCTATGACCTGTGAGGTAGGAGCCCCAGAACAGCTCAGAGTGGACATGACGAACGCTGTTCATATCCACAGCTGGAGGCACCCGGATGTGAATCTTAGGCCCGCTCCTCAGGGAGGCTTCCAACTCAGCACCTCTGCTCTTCTCCCAATGGCCACCTTCCTGCCTTGCATGCTGGTTTGGGAGAGTGGGATCCCCCCCCCCTTACTTGAAGCTTCTTGGATAGAAGTGGATGGGATCACCCTTCAAGATCTGGACGTCAGCCAGATAGTGTGGGTATATTAAATCAAGGGTGTGTGACCAAATCAGGGCCCATCTGTTCTGCACAGGCTCAATGGGACTGTTGTGCAGGGCTGATTCCCGCCAGGCCTGGGGGGTCAAAAGGGGCCAAGGGACAAAGAGAGGCACAAACTCAGGGAGCATACAGGTGGGGTGGACCTCACTGCTCACCTCTCTGCGACCTAAAGCAGGCTTTTTAGAGCCCTCAGGGCCTCAGCGTCCTTAGGGACTGTCAGCATGGCCAGGGATCACAGCCCAATCAGCCCCATGCATACCAACCTGGATCATCTCTGTGTTAAGCATGGCATTTAGCATCCCTGAGGCTGGTCCTGCAGATGGCAGCCTTTACCCACTCTCTGTCCACCCAAATCCAAGGAAAGAGGCACCAAAAGCTTGCAGATTCTGTTTGCAAAACTGGGGAGCAGGTACAGAAACTCCAGACATAGGCTCCTCCCTCCCTACCCCATAGACTGGGCCCAATAGACCCAGGAAGCAGCCGCCTGTCCACCCTCCTGGGGATCATCCAGGCTCCGCACTGATACTCTAGGCTAGTGCTTAGCTTGTACACAGGGCAGAGGCCCCTCAGGAGTGGCCTCCTATACCATGCCAGGTAGTGTGTCGCAACATGCCACCGTGGGGATTTCAGACCCAGACACGCAAGGAAACCCCAGAGAATATGGCTGCTGTCCTGAACCCCAACCCCTCCAGCTTGTAGAGTCCAGCCTGTGGCTGCTAGCATTTCGGTGAATTTTGCTGTTTACGGTGTGGCTACCAGGGCTCAGGGCATGCATTAAGCATGCACGGAGTAAATGTAAGAGAATTTGAGCCTTGCCGTTAGGGCAAGAGACTATTAGGGCCCCAGGAATGCCGAGGGAGGATGGAAGGCTGGGATGTGATAGGAAGGACTGAAGATACTTAAAGCTCACCAAGGCTTCTTGTTGCACTGGTCCCATGATGCTACTCCAGATCCTGCGTGTCATACCAGAGGCGTGCCAACTCTCATTTGGCTCCATCTCTTGGCCCTGAGTTCCATGCTGAGGGCATCTACCCACATGACCAGTGAGGTGGTGACTGTGTGTGTGTGACTGCCTAGGCAAGGCCTGTGGCCCTCTGAGCTGATATACAGCAAACTGCCTCCATCCACACAGGAAGGAGCCCAGTGTTCTCCCCCTTCCGGGTGGCAGAAAAAAAAAAAGTCGCTGGGCCAGGGCAGGCATACAAAATAGTTTCTCTCTGTACCACTACCTCCCATGGTGGGCCTACACTGGGGACAGTCACTACAACTGGAGAGAGAGCACCAGTCCGTCCCCGGCTCCTGAGAGAACACTGTCTACAGTCTAGTACCACACCTGCTATTTGTATATTCTTCAAATCTGAACAGCTGCTCAGGGGTAGACCGTGACACTTGGGGTGCCTATAGGTCCTCGGGGCCAATGAAAGCCACAGAGTCACCAGGGAGGGGGTCCACGTACGGCCAGGAGCCAGCGGGAGACATGCCTCTTCCTGGTCACTGTTCTGAGAGATGCTGGTTCTTGTTTTGTCGCCAGTCACAGCCTTCATCTCATGTCACCCCAGTTCGGCAGCAGAGATCCCAGGGTCGAGAGGGGCTCGACTGGGCCTGTCTCGTCTGGACCGTAAGAACAAGCTCGGCTGGCACGCGACTAGAGAACCATCTGCAGTTTCCATGCCCAAGATGTCGTCATTTAAACTTTCTCTATCCTGGAACAAAGAAGCCACCGCTTCCAAGTCAGTTCTGGGGACTTGGTGACAGGCCTGGAGGCTCCTTGTTTGCGGGGAGGGGAGGGTTCTGCCTGTAGCCCTGCCTTGTCTTTGCTCCCAGGCACACACAGTGTCCTCGCTGCTTCCCACTCTACTCGACAGCAGGGCTCTGAAACGAGCTCACACGCTGATACCGAGAGCCATAGGAAGCCCCAGCCTTGAGTACATCCGTGCAACTAAACCGAGGCCAGAGAAGTTTTCCAATCACGCTACTGTAGACAGAGCAAGCAGACAGGGCCATCTCCACTCCACTCTCACACGGGTGTGGGAGTTGTCCCCAGAGGTCTTCCCAGTACAACAACTCGTCTTTCACCACCAATTGTCTGTCGACCCTCAGCGGTGCCACTGGGAGCTTGTGCAGTAAGCAAAGCTGCAGTGTGCTCAGGAGTATTCTCATGAAACCCTTGTGTCTTCTGAACAATGGGCATGGGGGCTGAGGGCACGTGCAGAAGGGAGAGGCAACATCCAAGTGACCAACAGTCAGCCTGTACGTGGTGAGAGGGACGGGAGGGTCAGCCTGTGCATGGTGGGCAGGGACAGGAAAATGTTTGCATTGAAATGTCCTGAAAGAAGAGAGGACTCCGTGCAGTGTCCAGTCAGATCCATAAAAAATTAATCCAGACCTCACGCAGTTGGCTGACTCTGGGCAGACCAGGGCCAGCATGTTTCTGCTTTGGGGTCAAGGCTGCAGTTTAACCTCTGTGATATGCATGTTTTAACAGCTTGCTGCCCCGGACAGAGTGAAGTGCTTCATTTTATACCCACTCCCAACCCCCCGCCCCCCGCCCTGTTGCTCTGACTGAAACACCTAGCAAAAACCCCTCACTGGCCCATGAAGGACCCTGGCTCTGTCAGCCTCCAGATGTGTACATTCCAGAGGAGAAGCCTGGAAGACGGGCAAAGCAGGTTCACACTTGACAGAGCATCCCAGGCCACTAAACCAAATGACCTTCTAACCACAGGTCAGACACCCTCTCACCAACCCGCTTCCACGGTATCTTCACCACTCTCAGCCTCCCCTGGGACTTAAGGAAAGACACCACCAAGAAAGAAAAGTAATCATACCAACAGCCTGGCTCGAAGACAATTTTAACAACCTGAGAAATGCAAGTCATCCCTCAGTGGATGTCCTCAGCTGCCAAGTGTCATGTATGACAGAAAAAATGATCTGCCATAAATCTATATGGGAGGGAGGGAGCAAGATAAGTGACCTCTGAAAGGTTCCTCAAGACCCCGAGACCCCCCTGGCCTCTGCCTGGCCCTGGTGCGGGAACACAGCCAAGGCTTATGATGGCTTCCTCTATGACACTGCCTGGGTTCCTTTAGAATCTCAAGTACCAATTGTCTGAGCCCTGAGAGTATATTACTTCCATGCCTGCTGAGTGCAGGGGTCACCTGTCTGGGTCACTATCTGGGTTTCTTTGACTTGAATCCTTCATGGCCAGGCAGGGGCTCCCCTGCTCACAGTTCTAAATGGCAAGCCCCATGCTGCAAACCTAAATGTTAGGAACTGACCAGCTTCTGAGTGTTCATATGTCAGTGGCCTATCAATTATTCAAGCAGAGCGGGCTTGTGTGTGATGCGCAGATACTATCAGGCAAGTCATTTTGGTGATTGGTAAGCAGAGCTGGATGCTGTGACCCCCCCCCAGGGTGGGAGGTGATCTTCAGACCCCACAATGCACTGCAGTCAGGACCCCTAAAAGCAGGAGCCCACAAGGCCACAGTTCACTTTAGGACAACCTAGACATCACCTGCCTCACTTCTGGAGAGTTTGGGTCCTCAGCCACTTCTGTCAGCAGTGGCCAAGACCCAACAGACACAGAGACCTGATAGCCAGAGGCCAGATTAAGGTCAGGAGGGTCCTTGCTGGATGGGGTGATGCTCAATACTGAAGTCTTACTGTAGGGAGCTGAAGAGGCAGGTGCCTCTACCTTAGACAGATTATTTGAGGCATCTGGTCTACCAAAGCAAATTTCAGAGTCAAGGGAAATTTAGGCCTTTTCTCACTGGTTACAGTGTAACACTGGAAGCAAGACCACAGCACACTGTAGACAGATGTGGGAGCCCCTGTCATGGTAACTAATGGAAGACAGTGGCAACTGGAGGGAGATAAGGTGAGCTACCATGTCACCAAGGATATTCCCCACAGACTTTGCATAGACCAGGTCCATGTAGGTACTGCAAGATGGGTCTCGAACTGATCCTGGGACCTGCCAAGACAGTCTAAAGGTAAGCCCTTACCTGCCTCTCCTTGAGTCCAGAGTAAGTCATGGCTGCTCATTCTGATTTGGCATGATGTTTTGGGTTTTTGTCTTGTCTTGTTTTGGTTTTGTTTTTTAGATAATGTCAGATTATAAAGCCAGTGTTCTTGAAGACTGGGTAGCTTGTGGTAATGGAACGGCTAGTGGGAGCCTGCGGCCATTTTGGATACTTAGATCCTAGCATGATAAAAGCAGAAGCGACACCATCCTGGAGGGAAACAAGTGAGTCCCCAGAAGAGACCACCGCTCAAAATGAAAGTCTGTGTCCGAGGGAGGGTCCTCCCACCAGACAGCTGGTTGTTCAGGCAGGACCTTCACAGGTACTGACCTCACTGAAAGCATAGCTAGGCCAGATGCAGCTGCCCCTTCCTATTCTGAAATGCATGCCCTTGACTCTCCTAGTATGTCCAAGTCTGGTCCGTACAGTCCCGGACAATAAATACAAGGAAGAGGTCACTGGCCCGAAGCTCTTTCTGGACCCCGGCTCTGAGGGCACATCTTCCTCCTTTCACCCTTTTCCTCTTGGGTACCACCAGGGTCTCCCATTCTGCACATTGCTGCTGTCTTTATGGACAACTTCTTGAGACACAGAGGAAAACAGGATTGCTGGATCCACTGCAGAGACAAGGCTGGACCAAAGGGAGCTTCTCGGGGCTCATGTGTGAGATGGAGGAAGAGTTAGGGGCACAACAGATACCACTGGCCACCACACGGGCTCGTGCAGTGGCTGCACACCGGACATGCGGGCTGGCCCGGGGCCTCACCCAGACTGCTGTGCAATGCACCCACCTCTGAGAGCTAAAAGGTTAGGCACAGAACTGATGGCACTAAAGGGTGTGTCAAAATAACCCAGAGGCTCGGGGTAGAACTTTGTGGTTAAGGCGCTTTCATGGCAACCAAGAGAATTTTCTATTTTTGCGTGTTTCATAATTATGTGCAAATTCTATTTTTACCTAATTTGTGGTCCATCAACCAAAAAAAGAAAACAAACCCCCTAAAATGCCCTCTCTTTTTAGCCGTTTACCTCACACTGGCATAGGTGTGAGCTTACTTTGTAAGAATATTCCAGAAAACTCCTTGGGTTCCTAATTTCTCACCATGAGACATGCGAAAGAACCTGGCATTTTTGGTTAGGGGTTGTTTTTCTTTGCCTATCAACACTGTTAGGGAAGGGGGTGGCTATTTGGTGGAAGCAGCGCCAGCCTGACCTGGTTTTGCCACCTTCCCTTAATACCACTTTAAATAATTTAGAGGGTGCTTCTTAAACGTTGTTTTAAATTTCACCATTCCTCAGAAATGCCTCAATTTCCTGAATATTATTTGCACTGGTACATAAATGTTGCCCTGTGCCCAAGATGCCCAGAGCCTGGCTCTCCAGGGGCTGCATGTCAACTTGGCCCCTGACACACAGTCAATGAGTACCAGAGGCTGGCAGACAGCACACTCCCCCCACCCAAACACAAGGACTCCCCACACTCCTCCTGGGTTTGTCTCCCCAAAGCGACTAAGAGTCTTACAACTACCATCAACGAAACCCCGAAAGGCACTGACTCATGTCCACGGCTTCATCTTTCTGCAGAAGGCACAGTATTTCCACCCCCTGGCTCTTGCCCAGCGCCCCGTGCCTATATGATCCAAGTAAGTGGAGGAGGCTGGCCATTATCTCTCCGCTGACTTTTCTGCCTTCCTTTAACGGGCTTACGCCCTCTCTTATTAAAACCTGTTCCATTCAGCAATAATGCACTTCCATTCAGTGACGACCGCAGCAGGAAAGGAGCAGTAAATACCTGTAGTTACCCTGCACAGCTGAGGGGCAGCTCTACCTGACTTCCACCTGGGAAGAGGTAGAAACTTAAAATGTCAAGCTGGCTGCTGCGTGCTGACGTCTCTCCCGCATTTTATCACATCAAGCCGCTAACAAAGTGGGTATTAATTGGCATCAAGCACACGGGCCACAAATATCGCCTTAATATCACCCACAAGCCCTGCTAAAGTGCTTCATTTCTGCACCTCGCCTGGCTCATTCCATGGGGCTGATTGCTGCGTTGGCAAACAGCCATTTGTCTCCGTGGCCTCCTGCCTTGGCCAGCTTTTTATTTACCTAAATGGAATAAAATAAAAGTACATGGTTCCCTGCTGAGTCCCCCTTCCAGTTTGCATCAGTCCTGAAATAACAGGGTTGGGCACCGGGGTTTATGATGTTGGGGTACTGGGGTAGAGAGCTCTCTATAACACCATGTGACCAAAGCCAGCCAGAGAAACAAGCACTTCTCTGTGCCACTTAAAACAGTAATGTCTGGGGGGGGGGGGGGTCTAAAGCTTACAAAGTAACAGGTGTGACACGGGAGCAAGGACAACCTCATATGGCCCCTTGGGATGTCACACTGATGTCCAGGCGGAGAAGGGGCAAGCTAGATCTCTGATGTTCTCGGACCTCCTAGTTTCCAGCGTGCCTCCTGGCCAGAGGGGTGAGCATCGAATCTCCCCCCTCTGAGTGAGTATGTTTCCTTCCCCCAAAGTCCCAAGGGTGTGGCTGTACCCATCTCAGCCATCTTCCCCTTGGCACGCCATCTCATTACCTGCTTCCTCAGTCCCTACCCCTGACACCTCCAGGCAGGTGCTCAAGCGCAGGCTGACCACTGATTCCCTGTCTGTGGTGTGGGTGGAGAGTCTGCATCTGCTCCAGGGGCAGAGAGTTCGGAAAGGGAAAAATAGTGTTGCAGAATGGTTGAGGCAATGGAACCAGGTCTGCCAGTAAGTCAGTGTGGGGTGAGCCTTTAAACCATGACAGACGTCACGAAACGTACTGTATGGTACCCACAGACAGCGCCTGACTCACCGTGGTTCCACTTATCTTCTTCCCTTTAACTTTAGGTTAGTATGAAAGTGGTGCCCATTCAGAGAACCTACACTTTGAATTTTTCGTATTTTACTCAGCCAGCCCTTCTGTGACGAGAGGAGTGGCTGGCATTCTGCCTATGCTGTGCCTGTGAGAAGACACTAGGTCAGTGAGGTATAGCGAATGTATCCCGACTTCTGGCATTTTTCACTGGGGCACAACCATACGGAAGACGAGGAGCAGCCCTACTCAGAAGGAAATGGGGGCACACTACATAGTGCACATTTAATTAACTAGCTCTGAGGTGATTGTGTTTAAAGTTTGAGGAAAGTCCCTAGCTGTGGATCCAAAAACAGTTTTCGACTGAGAAATGCCAAGGCATGGGCTTTTGGCAGGCCACAGCAGACGCCATACCTGCACGACGGGGTGTCCTCCAGCTGAGGCCTTCACAGCCCCCCGGCTGCCTTCTGTCTCATAGTGAGCCCTGTGGTGGGACTTGGGCTGCACCTCGATCCGAAGCTCATACGGACCGGAGTGGGATGGCAGCTGCCAGTCAAGGGCGGGTAAAGATGGGCTGCAAAGGAACAGAGGAGCTTTCAGTGCAGGTAGACACCAAGACACAGTCGCCCACGCTGTCCCCGAGGCACCGGCAACGGGACACCTCTCACCGCTGACAGACACGACACCCTTAGCATCCTGATGGCGGAGGAAAGTCATGGTTACTATGTCACCATGTGTGGTCACAGCTTGCCAGTGCTTCATGAATAAAGGAAACCAGCCAGTCTTTAAGATGCTAACCAAACCTATTACCCAGGGCAATGAAGAGGCACAGATAGCCAGCTTGTAGCCAGGATAGCCGCCAATGGGATGCAGGCTTCTGAATACCCTTTGCTAGGAACAGTAAAGGACACCTTCCTCTAGGGGAAGCCCTGTGAGGCACCCTTGACCAAATGTGGCTCTAGGAATAACTTACCCTACAATGCTAAGTTACAGCAGACCCAAGAGAAAGAAGGAACTCCTGGGGCCCACTCCATCCTCCAGTCTGACATGTCCCTTGTTTCTGTTCCAATTCTAACAAGATGCACCTGTGTTTGTTACTATGCAGGTACAAGCTGGGCCATCCCTGCAGGAATCTGACTCGCAAACCCACAGTCGTGAAGGGCTGCACTTGCCTAGCACAGATGAATGTTGGCTGCTGGCGGAGCTCGGCCGCTGCGGCTTCAGAGCAGCGTTACAGAAGGGACAGGCTTCCTGACGCTAGAAGTGCTGCCGTGCGCCCAGCAGCTCACACTACGCCTGTCAGGGCCGTTTCCTGTGTATGTCACACACCCCGTTTCCAGCAGCTGTCAGGCGGAAGGAAGAGCCACAGAGCAGAGGGCTCAGCCCGGGAGGGAGGCCCGCATCCTGGGGAAGGTGCCCCATGGGAGCCGAGCAGCCTCCTGTTTCCAGGAGGGGATGTGTTTCCAGGGCTGTGGGGTCACAGTGCTCAAAGCCAGAGGCGGCGTGGGTACCCAGGTGTGGTGCAGGAGGCAACTGCGAAGCAGCCCACACCTGCGGTTCTCTGTTGTATTTCTTATATGTGCATTTAAGTTTCTTATCCGCACAGAGAGACTATGCTTTGCCGTGAGCAGAAACAAAACAACGAAAGCTTCCCAATGAAAAGAACTAGTTTCAACCCCCAGGAAACTCTTAAAAAGAGTGTGACAGACAGAAATTGTGGGAAGGGGCAGGATGAAGAACGTCTTACACGTTTAAGACTGTCAACTCTGGGTGGAAATGTCCACCACAAATCGGACATCTCTCAAACCCCACGGGACTGCACCTCGGGTCAGAGCTGGGGATAGGGAGGGAGGAGAAAACCATTTGCCCACTGCCGCCCTCCTGGGGTCTGAACTTCAGGGCACTGCCATGATTCTGCTGCCCCCGGGGTGGTTGATGTCTGGTGACATCAGACGCAGGGGCTATGACTGCCTGCTGAAGATAAACGCTCAGGACTGACCCAAAATTTTGTGCACACGGTGAATTCAGTTCCACGCCTTTTGGAAGTCATATTCAAAGCAACCCAGGGAACAGCTGGCCAGGCAGGGCCCTGAGAGACCTGGACTTCTACAAATGAAGTCATTTGAAGTTCCCTGCACACTTTAAAACCTTGTATCCTACACCGCTGATCAAAAGCTACTGTCTAAATAAATGGGAGTGGAGATGCATGAATTTTACATAAAACATAGAACTTAGTATCCCGACCTTTAAAAAAAGAACCAATTTTTGAACATCTTACTGTGTTGGTAAAAAGCAGTTTAATCACCACACCACATTTTATTATACAAATATTTCTTTATAACTGGACTTTGATTACTACCTAGTCCATGGGATTAATATTTGCCCCGTCCTACATGCAGGGTCAGCATTTTGTGGTTCCTGAGGCATTAGCCTCACACTCCCCTGAGATATGTAGGAGCCTCCTACCTCAGCCCCAACTTGTCGTAACATTAGCCTGACATGTTTTAGTCATTTTCAAAACTGTCCCCCCAGACTGGCTTCATGTGCTGCTGTTTGCCCCTCCTCACAACCCTGAATTCAGAGCAGAAAGCAGTGGGTGGCAGGTAAAGCACACATCTGTGAGAAAGCAATGCTTCTGCTCTCCCAGAAGTAAAGCTGGGACTGCATGGCCCCTCACCACCTGCTGAAGTTCGGTCCTGTGTCTTACTGAAGATCTTCTGGGACCTCACGACACTTCCCAGGGCTCAGTCGCCACCCCAACAGAGGCTGGCCATGACTCTGCAACTCACCCCTCGTCAGTTAGCATGTGTCTGGACTGTCTCTGTCTAAAACTGCCGTCTGTGATAAACAGTCTCATGATGCCACAGAGGGAATGTCAGGCCTTGCTTCAGTCCCCATGACAAACACTCCGAGACACGGTCCCAGGGCTGGAGAGACGGCTCAGTGGTTTAGAGTAGCAGCTGCTCTTGCAGCTTCTGTGTCAGACCGCGCACAGCCAACTCTAGTCTCTGCAGACGTGAATATTCATATGCACACTCGTGAGCACACACACACACACACACACACACACACACACACACACTTACAAGCAATAAAAGAAATCTTTCAAAAATCAAACTAAGCACCAGAGAGATGGCACAGTAGCGAAGGGCACCTGCTACCATGTCTGAAGACCCGAGTTTGGTCCCCGGGACCCACGTTGTGGAAGAAGAGAATGCCCTCCTGCAAGCTGTCTTCTGTCCTCCACGTGTGTACTGTGTCATGCCCACAAAATAAATAATGAAATAAATATGCAGTGATAACTAAAAGAAACGCATTCCAGAATAAAACAGGCAGACTGGAGGTGAGCAGCCTGTGGTGGGGCCATGTTGCTAGCTACAGCATGCTTGACTTAGAGATCTGGAGTTTGCCCTCTTTCCCACAGGCACATCAAGCACCCATTGCTCCTCTTAGCCCGTGGTTTTGAACAAATTTAGATTTTTTTTTCTCGAATTCTTGTAAGAATTTTTTGTGTAGCTCTTTCTTGCTTCTGGGGTCCTGAGGGCCCTGGGTCACATGGGTCACACAGCTGTACGGCCACCAGCTGGTAGCGGCTGAAGGGACCACGGCTAATGTAGCCTCTGTGCTGGGGGAGGAGGGGGGAGGGATAGGCTGCGTGGGAATGATGGGCAGCTTCCCCTGATAACGGGCGAGTCAGACCTTCCACAGTGCTTGGTATGTGGGCGTAGCGCAGGGAGAAGCCACCAGCTCTCCTGTTTTGAATCACTGTTCCCATGAGAAAGGGCTCCGCCTCCCACTGACAGGAAGCATGAAAATGCTGTTGGCACACAGGTCACAACACAGAGACCAACTCCTTAGGAGATCACAGACCTGAGGCCAAAGTGGGCTCCTGTCTACACGAGACCCACAATCCCTAGCTCCACCATCTCCGAGCATCTGAGGCTGAAGCATAGGGACCATGAGGTTCTCTGGGGCGCTCATCTCTCCAACTGGCCACTGTGGGTTGCCAGTATCACTTCCCCTCCACGCAGCCCTCAGCACAACCTCATCCATGCCTCATCCAGCTCAGCTATGCTACTCAGGGGCACACAGGTCTCTCTCGAATCCCAGCTCCGAAGCCTGTCATGTAAGCACCACAGCCCTTGACTGGAGCCAACATGACCCTCATCCCAGCACTCAGAAGACACCTGTGGGCCACAGGGGTCTGTTTGCAACAGTTTTCCAACACAGAGCTTTGCTTTGTGCTTGTTCTGAGTTCTGCCTTTTGCATTTCTCCCGACACAAGGTCCCGGGGAACTCAGGAGGACCCTCAGGAAGCACAGGTGTTGCTCACACCAGAGCTCAAAGCCAAGGTTGGGTAGATGACCTCTGACGACTCCCAGTGTCACGCAATTTCCTCTCCCTTTCAAACTTCTAAGCAACCTCTGAGGAGGGGGGCAGGGCATGGCTTTATAGCCACCTTGTGTGGGAGGCGATAGAAAGGGCAATTGGGTAAAGCAGTCACTGGATACCTGGGCTACCACGGACTACCACGGCTACCACATAGGCATCTGCCCCCACACGCAAAGGCCATGGGGCTACCACAGAATCCAAATCCAGAGGGCCCTAGGGGCCACACCAATCTGACAGAAGAGCCAAGTGACACCTTCAGCGAGATCCGTGTGGGGGTGTGAGTGTCCGGAACAATTTCTGCCAAGAAGAAAGAGGGGAGGAAAATAAAATGCGTAGCTGCGAGGGAGGGAATTGCTGACTGAAGAAGAGATCCACCCCAAACCCGAGCCCAACAACTGCTAAGGAAATTCCAGACTCGGGAGCTGCGAACCCTGGCCTGAGATGGGGGCTCATGCTATACGAGTTCCTAGGAGTGTCTGTGGTGTCACAGTCAGTTTTGAAGGTTGGATTCCTGTCCTGTGCACATTAAAACACGTACAGGTGGGGCTTTGAGAAGCTCAGGGGTGTTCAGAGGACACAGCGAGCATGGCAGAGGTGAAGGACAAGAGCCGGGACCTTCCAAGCTGGGGCTTCAGACCTAAAATGCCTTACACTGGAAAGCAAAAGACTGGAAACTTGTGAGGGGCAGATTTGGAGAGCTGGGGCTGAAAATGATCACCACGGCAGACTAAGTTACAGGATAAGTGATTCTTTTTATATATTTTTTAAATTACACAGTAATGGCAGCTGGGCTGTGGTGGCACACATTTGTAGTCCCAGCACATGGAAGGCAGAGGCAGGAGGATCTCCGAATTTGAGGCTAGCCTGGCCTACCAAGTGAGTTCTAGGACAGTCAGGGATAACCAAAAAAACACTGTTTTGGAAAAAACAGAAAAAAGGCAAGAAATAGAGAAAAAGATTACACAGTAATGAACCCAGTTTTGCACGTATGGGTATGTGTCTATGGGCGAGGACAGCCTCAGGTGTTGGTCATCGACTTCACCTTACTTAAGACCGGGTCTCGCTGGTGGTTCCCTGCTGCATTGGGCAGCCCATGACCTTCTAAAGAGAAGCCAGTCTCTGCCTCTCAGTTTGCCCTAGGAGTGCTGAGATTCCGGCTTCACACCACTTCCGGCTTTATGT